GTTAGACTCAGCTCGTCGAGTTCTATAAGCTGGCATCCTAAAAAACTAAAAAAGTCGAAAATTGAACTGTGCTTCCTATCGAAGTACCTGAGGACACTCGTTAGCGAGCGAGTCTCGCTATAATTGTAACCTGAGGGTAAACGTTGGGAATTAAATTCATTTTTGGCATCAATAACGATTACTGCCATCGCGGTGGGGTTGGCGCAGAGCTGATTAAAGATCTACGGAGCGTATGTGTTTCCCAAATGCTGCTGATCATTTTAGTGCCAATTTTCCTGAAAATTGAGAGGTTTCTTTCGATGTCACTTCTGGACGATATAGCCTTTTTAGTCCGGAAAAGTCTCGAGCTGGTGTTTCAGTTCTGACCCACTATAACAACGTGCACCAATGTAATGGAGCCATGTTTCCTCAAGTTTCACGAATTCAAAGAATGGAAGTCACAAGAAAAGGTTCTATCTTCAACTACTTTGAAATTTGCACTGTTCGTGCGGATACTAGAAACAAACGCTTTGATTTTCAGTCACGTTTTCAAACAGGATTTCATGCACTTGAGTGGTGGCCCCCAGATGTTCATAAAAAAGCTGCCTACAGAACGTGTTCTGTGCTTTCAACAGGTCTTGGGAAACAGAGTGGCGTATTTTAGAATGGTTGTTGTTATCGGGTGCCAACTTCGCGACTTCATTTCAAAGCAAAATTTACGCTTTTTCCAAAGGAAGAAAATCCCAGTCAAAGTCACACCATTCGAATCCCATGAAGAAATTCCTTTTTCAATACCTTTTTGTTTTCATCGTAAAAACACCTCGGTGCCTACTGGTTCTACAACCTTTCGCAGTTTTCCCCGGCTATCTGCCTTGTCAGCGGTCAATCGACCTCCTAAGTAGTTATCCCACCGAAGTGTCAGGGCATTGATCAGTCTCTGTATTGATCAGTCTCAGTAATTTCTTCTAACAACGTGGTTCGCTGTTCGGCAGAAGGTTTATAAGACTGCCGTTCTAGAAAATTTTTCTCTTACTTCAAATTTGGAGCCTATTCATCCAAAAAAAAAAAATTTCCAAAAATTTTGCATTTTAATTACAAACTCCTCCATTAATATTTGTTTTTTTAGTAACTCTCCATGATCCAACAGATCATGAAGGGTGTTGCTAAGAATCGTGTCAACCGAAATTTTTGCTCCTTTGGGGTGGGAAGACAAACTTGCATGGTTTCACGAAGTGCAGAATATTAAACTGCTCCAACAGCTTTGGATTTCTAGAGAGCGCAAATTAAGCTTCTTGCGTTCACAAGTTATTCTGGGTACCTACTATTTTCACACCATACACAAAATACAGTCTAATAGCTGCTTTCTCCATCGTTATTGCTTGCACGAAGGCCTCCATCCGATCGCAGCTGCCGACCTCGGCGGTACCTGCGCTTATTACCTTAGGACCTTTTTCATGCCCTCAACCTGATTCACGAGGCCGAATGTGGCCTTGACAATTTTACAAACCTTTTTGAATTAACACGTGGCGTCCCAATGCGAGGCTCGAATAAACTATTCTACAAAATGTCCGCTATGATTCTATTCAAAGTTCAGGGTGACAGTTGAAGATTTTGAGCTCTTCGAGGCAGAGCCTTATAACGGAATCAATTGCTTAAAGCAGTGGAGCTTAGAAAAATCTGCCGTATCGTTAGTTCTATTCCCAAGGTTTTTTTAAGTAAACACGCAAAACTTGCCGTTAATCATGGGAGAAGTTTGCAAGTCGAAGTACCAAATTTTTGAAATTTCCATGAGAACTCAAAGTTGAACTAAGAGAAACATTTTCTAGAAATTTTCTTGTTCTAGTGTGGTCAGAACTGAACCACAGCTCGCAGATTTTCGGCCAATAAAAAGGCTATATCGTCACAAGAAGTTGACATCTGAAAAGAAACCTCCTCAATTTTCAAGGAAAATTCGGCAACTGAAATGATCCACGCAGCCATTTGCGAAACACACACCACCTAGTCTTTAATCCATTCTTCGCGGCGGATGCAGCTACGTTATCTTGATGCAAAAATGATTTCAATTCCCAACGTTTACCCTCAGGTTAACTTTATAGCGGGACTCCAGCTCGCCCTAACGAATGTCGTAACTCAGGCTACTTCGATAGGAAGCACACTTCAATTTTCGACTTTTTTCAGTTTTTTAGGACGCCAGCTTATAGAACTCGACGAGCTGAGTCTAACAGTATAGGTTCTCTATATTAGAATAATTACAGCAAACAAAAATACGCAGAGAATCTGCGTTCCTTTCGCTTTTTTTTTTTCGAAAATTCCACTGTTATCCAAGCTATTCATCACATTTTAAAGCACGCCAATGTTGAGATTTCCAAAGATCGGTTGGCGCCATGACATCAGCATACTGTTCCTCAAGCCGCGTTCAAACTGGAAATAAACGCGAAAGAGACTCAACTCCCAGTGACCATGATTTTCAGCTGAACCTTGCTGAAACCCTGTCATGAAAAGTATCAAAATGATCACGGAATCATGCCCTCTCTGAATATGCTGGTATTTATGGCTTTGTGGCACTTGGTTTGAAGTTCATAATTGGACTGGAGGGTTTACGACGCAGCCGTGTCGCAGTGAGCCAGTCCCACACCTTGGCAAAGTCACTTGGGAGACCTCAAACAGTCAATTTCCTTGGGAAAAACGTCAAAAAAATTGAAGGAAAGTGGAAGCTCCATACACCGTTGGATTCGCCTTGTATAGGGCTATCGGATGGTCTGAATTTTAGATCATTTGGACCTCCTCTACAGAAGTTATGGCAAAACGACGGTTTGCGACGGAAAAATCTGTCGCAAACCGTCGATTGACCACAAATTATGAGCGGTATTGTAATCAATCGAAAAATCAGCTGATTCACGTCCACCGAGCCGTAGCCGCTTGTCACAGGTCCTGAACTAGCGCGGCTGCTTGCCACCCCGACGGTGCGCTAATGATCGAGCTACTGCGTACCAAACGTTCTCCACAACAAACGACGCTCAAAATTACCGCATCAGCCATCGATCCAGCACGCGATCGCTTTTCTCATCACATGAATGGCGACGCGTTTTTCCAGTTCATCGGTGATGCGAAGAAAAATCATTTTAGGTGACAAAAACAAATCTTTCTTTCGGCAGAACAGCAGGCTTACCCTTTTTTTTTTGTTTCAGGACTTCTTCTGTTCTCTGGCCTTTTCATTTCAATTCCCCGCGAATCGTCTGCAGCCGCGTAAGTGAAAATGTCACTAGCATGACCTCTCGCCTTCTTAAGGCAGTTCTGGCCACGTCGTTAAATCTCTAAAGCGGTTTAGGATTTATACGCCCGACACGACCGAATATTCGCGACCTGACCAGCGACTACCGTAGCGCCTTTTCAAGGAACGTGCCCCTATAAGCGCCCAATACAGCAAACAATTTCACCGACCCCGAAAGCCACCACGCCGCCGCCGCGCCAAAAATGTGACGACCGTAGCTTTATGCTCGTAATCACTTCCGCCTTGCAAATATTGGCGCGGGTCGGCTCAATTAAGCAATGACGTTTTTTCCCCACACAAATAATAGGCGCTCTAAAGTGTTGAAAAGGTTTCTGACGTACATGAGTTTTATACCGTTTGGCACCGAGCAATATCCTTGCCCTGCCACATAGTCTTACTTCAGTTTTCTTCAAATTTCTCTTTTCCATTATATTTGACATGGTGCCCCTCAAACTGGAGGCGTCAGCTTCCGAACGAAATTTGAGCATTTTTCAAGCCACCTCCTTTATACCTTCTCATTTAAAAAGCTCAAACCTGGCAGCTGCTAAGTACATAGCCTGAAAGCGCCTATGTCTTTTAGGAATGCTCAGTACATACTTTAAGTGATTCGAGATTTCATTTTGACCTCACAGACAGACATCGACCCTATCTCTCTCCTATATGACAGTCCGGAGATGTCTCAAAGCATAGTGTGGACTCGGAAAAATCATTTACCACACAAAACTGCCAAAGTTCCCTTTTGTTCAAAGGCAGACATTGCAATGAGCTAGCGGGAACTTCGTAACAGTTCGTAAGCGGCGTGGTTCAGAAACAACAGTAACAGTATGTGCTAAATGACTCGCTTTTCGGAGAAATGCAGAAAGGAAACTGTTGAGAACGTCTCAATTAAGGCCCGACTCATGCCAGGCGGAAGGCAAAGAATCAATGTGGATACGGGAGGGAGGTCAGAGAAAACTAGTTCGCATGCGCATGCATAAGTCAATCCTGATATCAAAAGGTTTCTCCATGGTCCCATTTTAGCCGTCGGCATTGCTATATCATGCAAATCGACCTCACACTTGAATTCAAAAACTCGTTCTTCAGAGGCAAGTGGCACAGTCAATCCCCGAATTAATACGTCTTGCAAGATCGAACTCGGCGTCCTGACCGGGCCCTGTGTGGCGCCTTTCTATGGGAGGTACTCTCATAGCGCCCTATCAAGCTGCAACATACCGACCCGGACGCCCACCGCGCCCGCCCGCCCACAAATGGACGACCGATGCTGATGCTCGTATCGCTTTTTTCGCGAAGTACAGTATGAAGTGAAGGGATTGATATGAAGCGATTCGGTGCTGCACGGATATATCGTATATACATGCATCCATCTAGCGTAGGGTTACTGACGTCTTGAACTTTTGGTGGTGCTCCTGTTGCGAAATCATGTAGCGCAGGCAAATAGAGGACAGCAGCTGCCAGAACATCGAAATGTGCAGGAAACATGTAATGAGCCTTAGTTTTAACTTTTCCAAGGGGAGGGAACTCCGCACTCAAAGGGATAGAGTTCAAGTTGTCCGTAGAGCATACCGTAGCTGGTATTGGCACGATGCCAAAAGGAGACTCGTCCGAAACCGCTCCTAGGTCGTGCAACAGAGGCTTTTCTAGAGGTTCTTGATGGTTTCACTTCGCTTTTCGCCTTTTTCCCCCACTATATAGCTACCCCGCTACAATTCTGGATCAGGTAACAATTTATCGTGCCTAGTGCCTCAAAAATATGATTACAGCTTTGCTTACAGGTGACAACATATTCGTGCAAAGTATTGCATCCACGCCAACTCCTTTGCTGAAGGGTCTCTGTGAGCATGTGAAGGCGAACGATCTAAAAGGTATTAAACTGCATCACCTAATTATCGCCGGAGAAGCTCCGTGGACAGCGCCTGACTTGAGAGGTAAGCTTTGGCCCACGTTGACGACAAGCATAAGCACACAAGTAACATTCAAGATCGAATTCGCTCCAACTCTCTCTTCACTGGTGATAGTCTCCGGAATGCTGTCAACGAAGGTGAGCTTATCAGTTGTCTTTTGTCCTTTAGTATTCAGTTGTGCTGCGGGATATTCGAGACTTCGAAAATCTCTCTTGTGACAAGAACTAATGCTTAAATAAATGGTTGATAAAGATTAAGAGGACTGCAAAGGGCAGTCAATGTGCAAGTTAGTGCTCTAATCCTCCCAGACGAATTTGGTACCAATTCACCGTCCTGGATGACAAATGGCTTTGTTGGATTGGGGGGAGCAGATCCGGGATTAGACCGAACCGTGCGCGTGGTAATCGTGCCACCCGCAACCACACCACCTCCGCTTCAAATAAAACATAGCAAAATCTAACAAAATCGAAGTTGAACACTACCTAGTCCTCATGTGCACGCAAATGCTTGTCTCAGCTGTCCAACTGCCATTATTTGGGTGTTTCGTAAGTCTTCTGGAACATATCCAACAGGATGACATCTTCCTAGGCCAAGCATTTCGTCTACCCGATCCCACCCGAACACGGTGAGCTTGAAATCCCTTCAAAAGAGTTCCGAAAGTAAGACTGAAAAGAACTTCGGGTGGGGCAACCAGTGAATAGGGCGTCAAAAGGGAAATGGAAAAGCGGTGAAATCGAGGAGAACGGTTGGTCAGGAAATCCCGATTGCCCCCCCCCTTGCTTCTTTTCTCGTTTCTGCGCCGGAGAATTTCCTCACTATTCTTTCCAGGTATCGCCGATTTCAACTCATGCTTCTTGCAAGAAGCTCCCAAACTTTTTCGTAAAGGAGTCATCAAGCTCAACGCCGCTCTAATCCATGTAAGTGAAGCAACTCAGACGTTTTCAGATGATTGTTGATTAGAATGGCGTATCTTTTTCTTTTCTCTTCGTATGCGCTAATTATTCGATTCTATCAAGTAAAAATCAAGTGAAGGAAAAGAACTGAGCTGGTTGTTGACAAGGAACAGAAAAGAACCGGAATTGAATCCCTCAAACCTACAACTTTCCAGGTATCCCCACCTGACTCGAAAGGCTATTGCTCGCTAGGAGTTTCTGTGGATATTGCGAGAGCAGGTGTAGCGAATGCTGACTACGTTATCGGTTAGCAAATATTCGAATATTTTGGTGCTGGTGAGTCCCTTCAGCATACGCCGTGCTCTTGCCTTCCGTTATAAATCAAGGAAATTTTTCGCGCTCCTGGTTCGGTGGCATGCAAACTATCATGTAGTGATGTGCTCATTTTCCTGGGGATATGTTTTCACCCAGCCACCTCATAGTCAGGAACTAACCATGCCTGCAGTATAGTGATGCGTTCGGAAAGCAGTTTGCGTACATGGCTCATTACATGGAAATGTTGATCAGCGCCTCTCTGCTGCGGTTCCTATTCACAATATGAGGAATGCTGATGGAAATGTGGACTTCGCAGGTGGGACATCCTCACGCTGGCAGCTGAAACGGCTTTCAAATGGGAATTCGCGACGGGCGAAGTTTCGCTACAGTAAATCTGTCTTGCTTATTAGTGAGAGAAGGTATTCTACTTTCCATTGCCCTGTAGATCTCCATCCCTATATCCAATGGAAGTAGCGACCTTTGAAAGCTAAAAAAAAACTCTCCTAGTTTACAGTGCCATGTAGATGTCTGTTCTATCTTGTTTCTGAACGAAGCTTTGTTCATTGAAATGTACAAAATTCGCCCTTGCCAGAAATTTCCCGTGTCAATTTCTGGCCAGAAGCTGCGAGCTTGATGAAACCTGTAGTATATTTCGTATAGAACCTGACCATACCACCTGAAGCATCTTCACCGCTCCACGAAAAATGGTTTCTGAATGAAGCTGGACCCATTTGAAAAATATTACGTGAATGCAGTGGGCCAGAAGTCCAGTCTCATGCGCTACGCTGCTGCAGTACGCTCAATGCCTCGGCTTTGCATGGTTTTGTTTAGAAGGCTTCATTTTAAGATTTTCTCAAAGTTCCACTTGGTGCACTACACTACCTCTTGGAAACTAATCCCTTCAACCTTGTTTTGTTGATTGCTTTGGTGAATGATTCTAGATACCTAGGTGATTATTGCATAACAATTTGCACACAACACATCCTGTGTAAACAGCAAATAGCTACCACACACACAGTCACTAAAGTGGGAGAGGAGGGGTCGTACCAGGCTCCATTTTTTTAACGTGATGCTTGGCCCTGAGACGGCGCGTCACACACCCTGTGATTTGCAGAGGGTCATGACTGTAGCAGTTCCTTCACTGTTCATTTGGATGACATTCCTCCTTTTTCCAGGTCTGGCGAACAAGAACATGCCGAGAACGTTCGGAGATAGTGTGATCCATTCATCGCATATCGATGTGCTCGTCGAAGATCATTCTTTTCCCGTCTGCGAACTTCCCATCGGAAAAATCAGCGAAGAAGAGCAGAAGATCGGAAGTATAATTGCTGAAAACTTGGTGGACAATGGCGCAACACTTCAAATGGGTAAGTGCGGCCCATTGAGCCCGGTCAAGCGTTAGTTAGTCCTAACTGACAATGATGCGCAATGGTGAATACTGTTTAAGCCGATAATTGAACCATCTTGTTTGGCTAATCTGATTTACGGCTTGCGAGGTGGGCATTGTCAAGGGTTTTTTTTTAACTTCCAGGTCAGCAGGTGCTTAGCGTTGGCTAGGCGGTAGGCTGTCGCATGTTGCTTGCACCATCATGCCAAGCAGTACATTCATGTGAAAACAATGGTGCAACAGTGGAACCTCCTATCCGGACGAAAGCAGAGCACATCACTGGGCCCCGAGCCACCTAAACATTCGTCTCTAACGATTAGTGGGTTGCTCGATCCTGTCATTTACCCATCCAGCTCCTTTTCTAAGCACTACATGCTCAGACAAGGCTAAGTGGGGGATAAATACGTTGTTATGATGCGCAGAGACTAGCTGCCTTTCTCCTAACTAATTGACTCGACATACTGCCCCACGTACCAAGAAAGGCGATGTCTTGCGAGAACAGCATACCGTAGCTGGGTACGCGCCGTGGGTTGGGAATGCCCAGCTAGGTAGGGGCTCGCATTTGGTCGCCGGAGAGGAGAGTAGGTGATACAAAGTCGTACATATTTGAGCCCCTGAGAAAGTTTTCGGTCCTTGACTCTTTTCGGTTTTCCTGCTCTTACTTTTCCTGCTCTTACAATTAGTCCCACTTCGCCTGATCGATCGCAGTTTTTTATGCGCGGGGGGATGCAAAGCGGGGAAATGGGAAATTCGCGAAAAAGGTGATGTTCTCACACCAGCGAAACTTCATTTCATCACCAGCATGCCACTAACGGGCGAGCCAGCGGAGGCCGCAGTTCCAGCTGCTGGAGGCATATCCATCCACATCTCATCTCACCAACAAGTACGAATCAGAGGATGATCTTTAGGAGTCGGAGTAAACAACGACAGTATCCTGTTCTTTGGGTCAACCGACCCGGCTGGGCACGCAAGCATCGAAGTGACAACAATTAACGGTCCGCCGAAGGACGACCGAATTGTGGTGCAATTTGCACCCGCGCCAAAGAACGCCAGCGACGAGAAGGAGGCATTTAGGACAGGCAGAAATGACCAGCATGTTCTCCATCAATCTCGGCCGCCTAACCATAGGTCCATTCGGATAAACGGTTGCAGGAAAAAAATTCTCCCCAGCGGCAGGACGTGTCTAGACTGGGATGTATGTTCTGTCAACAACAGAATGCGCGTAGTCGTGGCGGACGCAGTGGTTGCCTGATCGTTGAGGGGACAGAAAAAGTTCGAATTGAAGGCACTGCAGACGGAGTTCAGCCCAAAAAGTTGGTAAGGTATTCTCTTCGCGACGCATCATGACCATTGTTCTGAAGTTACCCGCAGGTGATTGTAGGTGCCACTCCGTAGATCCACACTGCTCGCAGGAAAGAATGGAGTATTTCGAGCAGGTTGACTTGACACATTGTGACACTTTCGCGCACACTCAGTTTGGTCCTCGAACGAATGGCGCGCACGCGGCACTGCTTACATCGCCGCTTTTACTGCATTATCGCAAAGTAGAACTCCTGACCCATTCGTGTTGCTTGTGGTTATACTAATCGTCGAGCGTCGATGTTGTCGATGTTTTTAAAGAGAAAAATCTACCACGGAAACAAATCTTACATTTCAGGTATTGGAGCCGTGCCAGACGCTGCATTAGCTGCATTGAAAAAATCACAAAGATCTTGGAATTCACACGGAGATGTTCTCAGATGGTGTGCTGGATCTGCTGGCGTGTAATGCCATTACCAACAAAAGAAAGGTGCTCAATTTTCTCAACTTTCAATGCTTTCATGAAGTTAAACTCAAGCACGGCATCGAAGAAAATTGACCCCTTGTCCCCAGGCAGCACCACTGGTCTCTGTAGGACCACTTCGGTCTGAAAGAAAAGGAGATCACTTCCTGAAAGAAAATGGTGTGATTTTACTTGCAGCAGCTGCGAGCCCTCAACCTGCAACCTCCATCCCAATCAGCTCCGTCCAGTCATACCACGAATTTCTAAAAGGTAGCATTAGTGAAACTGCTCGCTTAGAACGACTGGAGCACTGATCTGTACATGAGCTTATTCCCTAAAAGCACTTCATGGGCCAAATCGTCTTCTAAAGGGACTTCCACTTTGAATTGACTGTATAGCATAAAAAGGGATTAGCGAGCGCCGAGTGCTTCAGTTTTTGCCTTCCTCAACAAATTTGGAGAGATATCAAACCAAAAATTAGATGAGTTTCAGCGTGTACGTCCTGGCAAGCTGGTGGTCTCCTTCGTCTACGGTACTAAGCGATTGTACAACTTCTTGAACAACAACCCGCTAGTCGAATTCGGAGATGTCCAATGGGTCAACGATCCTGCTATTATCCGACAGAATCCCAAAGTCGTTGCGATCAATTCAGCCTGTTGAGGTTGATCTCACTGGTCAAGGTGAGCTCTACAAGGGGTTGATAGCTCTAGCAGTGGTACATGGTTCAGAACCTTGCCTGTTAAGAAGTAGATGACGTATCATGGACATGACGTCACATAACACGCTAGTAACTTGTCTTGTGACGCCACAGACATAATACAGTGCAGGTTTGCTCAAGATGAATGCTTTACCTGTCGGTCGTCATCCAACTCTTAGCAAGTAACAGGCTTCTGTTACACCTACGTTCTCCACTAAGCCACTAGGCCTAGTAGGTGATTAGAACGCGTACATTCTAGCAGTATTCTCAAAAGAGATGATTTCAGTGGTCTCCGATTCAGTTGGCAAACGGTTTTTGTCCGGTTTCGGCGGACAAGTAGATTTCATCCGTGGAGCAGCCGTCTGTAATGATGGCCTTGGCAAACCAATCATTGCTCTTCCATCGGTTTCGAAGAAAGGCCAAAGCAAGATTGTACCCTACATACAGCAGGTTTGTTGAACCCAGCGATTGCAATGGTGCCTGCTTCAGTCTTTTTCAATAGCTTTGAGTGTTTAGGGAGCTGGTGTTGTCACATCTCGATCTCATGTACACTACATTGTCACGGAATACGGTATTGCTCAACTATGGGGTAAGAATATGCGGCAAAGAGCGTACGAACTCATCAAGATCGCTCATCCATCTCACCGTGCAGCATTGGAAAAGGCAGCCTTTGAAAGATTGAAGGTACGGACAAGTACGAGCTTGTCACAGCTTCGTTCCAGAGTGTCTTGTTGGACCCAACCTCTAGATATTGCTGGTTTTGCGCAGTGCACAAAGCGCGCCGAAGGGTCACGCCTCACTTCATAGGATTCCTTGCGCAGTATCTCCCGGGGCAGTCGTTATCCCTGCGAATGAGAGGGCGTTTTAGGAGCGTGGATTGGAAGCGCAGGGAGACGGCTTTTCTCACCAGTTGATGCCATTGGCCCACCTTTGCTGCAAAATTCTGCCCCGGCACCGCTCCTGTCCTGCTCCTTCACGCTCCCCTCTCTTCTGTAGGTATAATGACTGGGGTGCACTTCGCACAACGCAGTATGGCCACGCTGAAATGGGTGGTCTGTGGTGCCAATGACCACGCTCAGCGCCTGCGAGGACCGAACCTGTACATAGAGCCCTCCCCGCTCTGCTTGCCTACGCTTGGCATCGTGCACTCAGTCGTCAGGAGGCATGGAATGAGTCCATCCGCGGCGTTCTCTATCAAGCTCTTTACTTACTGATTCGGTCACTGATAGGTAACTAATAGGTTGGACGGAAAGTCCTGCGACACTTTGATTGAATTGTTCTAGAAAAAGACCAAAAATCATTTTGGATGTTTTATCCCTGATTAGTGGAGACTGTCCTCTGGGGTTTCTGTATATGGGTGTGTCATGACTTTAAAGACACATAGTACGCTCACACATTGAGGGTGTATGTGACTAGCAGCCCCCAGCTGTCGAAGCATAGCGGTTTCCCCGTTCAAACATGCGCAGGAATGGAGATACAGGACCGTGAAACACGCTAGTTCGTCCATGCTCCGCCCAATGCCTTTTTGCGGCGCAGATTCCCGTCCTTCATAACATCCGTCGTAAGCGCGCGTGTCGCGTGCGGCTCCTTGGCACTTTGCCAAGTCCTTTAATTGCGCTCTCAAATACAAGTAAAACGCAATTTCCTGATGCGGATAACATTGGAGGTGCTGCAAAATAAGAACAGAAGATGATGACGAGGGTCAGAACTTAAAAGCAACTGTGCCACTTCTGCAACATCCCTCGGAGGCCGCGTATTTCCACGAAACATGAAAATAAAAACGGCATACTCGTTAGTTTGATACAAGCAAAACGCAATTTCCTGATGCGAATAAATCCATGTACAAGGAGATGAAGATGACACAGGCTAGAAATGAAGCACAACGATGTAAATGTAAATAAAACAAAAATGAAAAAATCAAGGAAAGGCAAATTAGTTAAAATCGCCTGTAAATTTCTACGATCCGGCGCGAATCCGGCGCCAAAGCCATAGAAATACTTAGAACAAACGAGTGGGACGCTTGGGCTGTTTTTATTCTCATGTTTGGGAATGCGCGGCCTCTGATGGATACTGCAGATGCAGCCGAGTTGCTCTTGAGTTCTGGCCCTCGTCATCATCTTCTGTTCTTATTTTGTAGCACCTCCAATGTTATCCGCATCAGGAAATTGCGTTTTACTCGTATTTGAGAGCGCAATTAGGACTTGGCAAAGTGCCAGCGACACGCGCGCTTACGACGGATGTTATGAAGGACGGGAATCTGCGCCGCAAAAAGGTATAAGGCGGAGCATGGAGGAATTAGCGTGTTTCACGGTCCTGTATCTCCATTCCTGGGCATGGGCGGGGGACCACGACACATCGACAGCTGGGGGGGGGGGGGGCTGATAGTCTCATACACCCTCATGTGTTTGACGTACCATGTGTCTTCAAGGGTATTTTCAAAGCTTAAAAGTCCCTCAGAGATTGAGGTACTTTTCGACCTATCCAATATTACGAGTTCCATGCTACTCAGCAATAGTTGTATGCAGGAAGGATATCGCTTGCCATGGCAGAGGGTAGCTTTTGCATCAGCGCTTCCAAGCTGGACTTATTTAATTCGGAGGTAGGCAATGTATAGGTCGGCCACCAGCACAGAATGACGGCCGTTTACTCAAGCTTCTTGAGGCGCAGCCGAACGTAACCACCAGTAAGCTGGCAACCTCTCTGGGCTCCACCTAGGATAACTGCCACGCTCGGTTATCGGGGGAATTTTTTGTGAAGGATGCCTCATGAGTTGGACCCGTCTGACAAGTCATACCGAATGACCGTGACTGAGTTTTCTTTTCCTTGTACACAGCGAAAGAACTTTTGAGATCTTGTGGTTGGTAGCGAGTGTTGGAGTCCTTGCGTACATCATGCACATGTCCCTCGCAGGATCTCTCAAAGGGAAAATAGATTGCTTAGCCAAAATCAGATGTGCATGGGATAAAGATGTTATTGGTGGACCCTCAAAGCGATACTGCTGGATACTAGCACAGCTGTAAGGACCACAGTCCACTTTAATCAACTTCAAAACATGGATGACGTCACGCTTGAATTCATTCAGAAATACTCAATTTCTCTACTACTCGGCAATGCGAAGACCGCATGTGGGGATCAGGCTACGCCAAAAGATCATGGATTTCGTCAGAGAATGCGAGATTTCGATCAGAGAATACCCAGCTTATTCACCAGACTTAGCAGCCTTCAATACCACCTCCTTTGGTCCCTATCGCATCCTTTAAAAAGCAAAAATTCCGAAAATCGACGTCTACTCGAAAATGAGGTCCACCTCTTCTTTTTATCATAGTTGCCGTAGTTCTATAAGAATGGAAATGAGAAGCTGTGCAAAAGATGGGCTCTAGTCCTAGTCACCAACTAGGCTTATCTTCTATATTGGGCGTGTATTTTAGTGAAGGAAAATTTGGTCCAAATATTTGGAGAAAGTGTCGCAGGACTTTCCGTCCAACCTAAAAGTAAAGTGCTCGCACAATAAACGTAATCCATGCGTTTGAGTTCACTCAGCACCTATCCTTATATTGTGGTGTCCCTGTCCCTGGGTATCTAAATGTCGTAGGTAGAGACCGGCTCCCGAGCCTCTCATTGCGCAGGAACTGGAAGCCTCGAAGGAAACTCAAAAGTATTCTTAGTTTTTAATTAGCACTTTGTTCAGCGAGCTGGGTATGACCGCTACTAAGTAGTAGCAACCCTCACGGATGCATCGCCCGTAAAGAACTAAGTATTGTTGTTTCAAGCCAACAAAGTGAAATGATTCATTTCCAGGTTATGCCGTCAGCGGACTAACAACGGCTTTCTATTCCCACATTCCACGTTACCGTCTGCCTGTGATTACCTAAGACGTCCTTCTTCGAAATTCATCCAACCGCTAGATTGTGCAGAATTTTTTTGTTTCTTTCGGTTCTGTTACTCAAGTTCCATGTTTTTCTCTACGTTCAAATATTCATATCACAGTGTATAGATTTGTAGTTCATAAAGTCCTTTTGATTATAAAGCAAAGTATTATACGCTATTCAGTGAGCAGAACTGGTACCATAAAAGTGGCAAGAATATCAAAACGAGTTAACCTTATAGTAGACCTATTTTGATGGTTTTTGTACAAGCACTGCTTTGATCTGCCTTGCACATGAATTTTCTTGCTGCATAATGCGGGAAAAGGTTTAATGCATGCCAAGAAGCGTTTGAGTTCAGTACCTCAACAGATTGTTCACAATTCTTCATTTATTTTCACTGAGTAATTCATACCAAGCTTTTCCCGTCTCAGAACTATTAGGAAACAGGACTTGAGTCAAATAACTGGTTTCTCGGCTATTTACAGCGCTTCCCTAGACTTGTCCGTGTGGTGTGATAGCCAAAAAAATAGTGTAGAAGCTGGTCAAGATTACAGCAGATATTCTGTTAGAGCGATGCTTCCATCTGTTGGAAGGTTTGCCTCACCGCAACACCTCAAACTAGCTAGTCTTCCTAGCTAACTGACCCGACAACCAAAACCTCCTAAGCCAATCAGGTCCTGGTACATACAGTCCTCTAATGATGAATGAAACGTGACGCGACAGCGGCTGCGGCTCGGTGACGGTGAATCAGCTGATTTCGATGGAATTCGGCTGCGAATTCCCACTTTTTCAGCTCTTCAAGCTTGGAAGGTGAGTTATTTTGAGCAATTTTAAATTGTGACTCTGAATGAATCTGAAAGAATGCAAGCCATTTGAATAAATGCCTGAAATAAGGCAAAATACAAGGAAAAGAGCATAATAATCGACATAAAAATAAAGGAAATCAGAGCCAGTACAATTCAAAATTGTTCAGAATAACTCACCTTCCACTTTAGAAGCTTGAAGAGCTGAAAAAGTGGGAATTTGCAGCCGAATTCCATCGAAATCAGCTGATTCACCGTCACCGAGCCGCAGCCGCTGTCGCGTCACAGTGCAGCGCGGCTGTGCCGCCCCGACAGTCCGTAATGACGGGACTGTATGTTATGCGCGTGAAAGCTCTTGCAGTTGCTTGCAGTCATTGCAACGTGAATGTTCAGAGCAACGCTCAGCGCCTTCAAAACAGCAGGGAGTACTCAATACAAATCATCGTTGTCGAAATCACGACGAGAGGGTCGTATTTGGCCGCTAGGTAGGGCGTAGCAAGCAAAGGGGTCATTCTTCACACGAGCAAACATAAGGGAGAAGGTAGACCTTGAAATCACCTCTGCAGTTCTTGTTGATATCATCCAGATTAGAGTTTTCCAGGTGGTCCGGACTCCTCCATAACATTTACATAACGGGAAAATTTTTAAGGAAAGTGAACTTGCAAAAAAAATTAGATGCGGTTTTGGGGAGACGAAGTCTTCCCAGTACCACTGATGTCGTTTTCTATGTGGTCACCAATGGAAATAAGTTACGGTATGTCTGTTAATAACAGGCAAACTCCTATGTGACATTTTTAACAACAAATACACAACGAGGAATACTTTATAACGGATGCCATTTAGTCAATATAAGTTCAGTCACTTCATAAAGAAAGACTTTCCAAACTTACTTTCTTTTTCCCGTACACATTGTTCCAAACAGAGTACTGGTCGCTCGAAGAAATGCTAGTCTCGGTATAGTCAGCTGAGTCTCAGATTCTTCTTCATTACGGTAGTACAGGGAGCCTCCGTAACTTCACAGTGGATTTTACTATGAGTCTTATCTCAATCGCATATGCTTTGACAGCGCTGAAAAGATCTGCCAGCGGGAAAAGCAGGGGTGTATGGCGTACGGTTCGGTCCCTTGAACAAGAAGGCTTAGAAACTTAGCCTAGATCGTCCAATATTAAGTTACTACCAAGAGCCACTTTTGGAGGTAGAATCTTACCGACTCT